GTGAGAGATACTTTCAGCACGAGAAGATAAAATTCGTATCCCCAAGCGGCCATGTAATGTTCTGTTTATTATATAGATACTGATGAAATTTCCACATAAAAGACAACTTTTTTTTATTCATTTTCGAAACAGCAATTGGGTAATTATGTTGGTAACCATGGCCACACCAATATCCTCCCAAGTGAAAGATAAAAATAGTATCTTCACTGCGTGCGGTGAAGATATGATTTTTTAGTAAAAGGAGAAATCCTGGTATTTCATCAGTATCTATATAATAAAATACAATTCGAGACTTTTTATTGGCTTAGCAATTATGGTATATCAGCCAATATACCATAATCTAATATCTCTACATTGTAACATCCGGTTTCTACTCACAAAATAAAGTCGAGAAGATTTGTCTAACATCTTGGGGCGTTTTTTTTTTAATAAAATAATTATTCCACTCGCGCTTGTTGAATATGAAATGGTTATAATCTCATATCCAAAAATGAAAATGAAATGGCTATCATCTCATATCCAACGCACACTCGTGGAATAATTGTTAAATATAAATATTCATTACTAAAACTTTGAAGAGGCCTCATTCTTTCAAGAATTAATTGTTGTGTTTCGCGTCACTAGAGGTTTGTTGACATAAGGTAGGAACCGCCTTCCTTTCAGTGATGTAACTTTGTTACGTTGGACTTTGCAAGCATCCATATGGAAGAAGAAGGATTTCTTTTCGTATTTTGTAAAGTTTATTTCGATAAAAATAGGGCTTTAAATGTCTGGAGTAATCCAAGGAAGTTGGTCACTCCTAACTTGCGTCTTCTTGACACAAATTATCGATGTACTATTTCATAAACTGGTGCGTAGGTTTCAGCAGGGTTTCCAAGCGCGAGTAAACTGAGGAAAGCATGAGATCGCAGGCCGAGTGCTTTTAAATATTATTTTCGAGTGTTTGGAAACCCTGGTGAAACCTGTCATTGCAGTGTTTCACCGGGGTTTCGAACCACATGCACGTGATAAAATTGCCGTGTCTCGGTTGGATGATTACCTTATGAATAAGTTATCAATTTGAGAAGTACTAATTCAAACATTCGTGCACGAAGATGATGCGGCGAGATTTAGTTTGGGAGCGGAAAACAAAGAACGAAAACAGCTATTCCCACGTATAGCAAATGTAATTATTAACAAATGGACAGTGACAATTTTTCGCGAATGGCAAATTTCTCAGTCGGTTGTAGCTCCCGTTTAGATTCAGGAACGCTCTTTCAAGACTATGATTTACTCAAAGTCGCACAGCTTTCTATCAGCATTGAAGAAATGGATGCAGTAACCATGAATTACTGGCTTAGCAAGTTTGTGATGAAGGTGGCCAAGAATTTAGGGGAGATATATCCACCGAAGACCGCTTATGAAATAATATTCAGGTGATTTTTGGAATATTGTTGCTCACGATACATTAATTATTGAAAAATGGCCATTATAATGCAAGTGCTTCGACTCAGATTAAGGTTTATTGGCTGTTGCCCATATGACAGTTCTGACAAGCGGGAGAATATAATTATGGCGCCTCTTACGTAGGGTAACTATTGGTCGCTCTGGTGGCAAAAGGTCATCTAAAGCTGTTGTAAAATCGCTGTCGGTGATCTTGGCCCACAACTTCTTATCTTTTAGAGTAATAATATTTTCAATGGAAAAAAGCTCTTTACAGTAACCAAGCTTAAAAGCTCTCTTGAACAGCCTGTCTATGCGACTCAGATACTTATGATAATACGCGCAGCCCCATACTTCTACAGCATATGTAAATATAGGTAGAATAAGACTGATAAAAAGAAGATGAAGATGATCCAGCGGCAGTCCATAGAATTTACAAACACGTAAGATGTACAGACGACTACTGGCTTTCGATATAATATTATCAAAATGTAAATCCCAGTTACACGGATCAGATTGAAAAGT